TCATAGTTAGGTGTGATAGCATGCCCTATTTGCACTATAAGAGCCCGTATATTGGCCAAAATCGGATTGTTTAATGAGGGCGAAAATCCCCGGGAACCACTAAAATAACTTCCCAAAATTACTTTTTTAAAGTTATTGAAAGATTGCAAAAAAGAAAATAAAATTCAATGCATTTCCCTTCTACCGGAAATAACCACAGAAATAAAAAATGCACGTTACTTTGTACCTGAGTGAAATAAATACATATTACCTTTTAGCATACCGTCTTTATTAATAATAGATGTATTTCCATATCTTATTGATTTCATTTGCTAACTGAACGTTAACCACTTTTTTCGCTTGTCTGACAAAGAATAAATAATGGTACAAATTTTGAAGTGAAAATATTGAATATTTAGCATTTTTGTGATTTATTTAATTGCGTACATAGATGCTTTCCGAGTGTAAAATTGAAAAGCTGCAGACTTCGGGTAGTTCTTCAACGGCTTTTTGAAGAGACCATCGTTAAGTTGAGTGTCCACATTTTGGATGAGACTCGGATATGTGGTGAGCTTAAAGTAACCAGAATTTGATTAGGGTCTGAGTATTTGTCACTGTTAAATAACATTTGCAGATTTCCTCTTTGGTTTCAAACGGTCGTCCCTCCCAATGTCAGTCGGATAGTGCTGCAGATAAGTTCAAAACTAGCAAATATTGCAATTAGGAGAGTTCCGATGAAACCATTCGTACGTTATTGAAGAAAAAATTGAAGGGCAAATAAAATATTATACTTTTCTACTATCATTCAGCTATGCTCGAACCTCTACAAGTTGCGTCAGCTTTTCGTGGCAAATGATTCAAAACTGGTTGTAGAATTATAGCTATTACCCAGACTGGGTCACTGCCATTATAAATGGACTTAGAAGCATAGTGATGGTTCTCAACTTTAAAAAGAGAACAATTTAATGCTTGCGGAATTCAATGAAAATCACACTTTTAATTTGTTGATTTAATTAATTAATCCTTTTATTAATTTTTACGTCCCTTACCTGGCTATTTAACAATGTTGCCTGTTCAGACGCATTTGCATGAACTGGTTATATGAGAAGAAAATCTGCATTCAATGTGCTCTACTTAGCTCTTTTGAATAACAATAATTGCATTTATAATATGCATCTTTCCGTTGAAGGAATATTTATTTAATACAAGATATTAATCTTTGTAACGCACTTAAGCCTCTATGAAGCCTGACCTATGGAAAGTCTAATAAGCTTATACAAGTTTACATAATGTATAAAAATCCGAAAAATTAACATGAATTGATAATCAACTCATCATCATCTATAATTCAAGAAAACTTTTGTGTGCATCTATCTTGAAAATCAGGAATACAATTACTAAATTGAATTACGGAAAAGATGTTCGTATCAAAGTAAGCAATACACTGCCAGACTGCTAAAATGCAAATTTAGCCAAATTCCTGTATTTGCGAGTTTATTATTTATTCATCTCATTTCGTTTTAGAAATTTTGTACATTTCACGTATTCAGTTACAATTCAAAAATTAAAGCTTTTCAATGGTCTTCTTAATTTTAAGAATTAATAATTACAATCGGTAGTGTTCAGTTGAACCCCACATTAAATGGCATTTAATAAAGCCTGTTGTGATAAAATGTTATCTACTTGCTGCAAGAGTAAAGAACGTTTAAATGTGATTAAAATTTCACATATATTAATGAAACGACCATTAAGCTTTGCATTCACTCAGATAAATAAGCAGAATTTACGAAACTTGATGAGTTGTTTGGAAATTATGTTGTAAGTTGTGAGGAAATATGGGAGAGCAAAGGGAACTTTTCAATCACTCTTTGGGCCCTGTCCGATTACTTCCTTAAAGAATTTTTGGGTTAATGAGATTGCACAGGAGAAATTGTTAGCTAAGATAATAACCAATTAAATAGTAACAAATAATAAGTCCGTCAGAGATCTAGAAACTTGAACTCTGTGGAATATCATTGAATTAAGACTGAATTAAAGAGGCAATAACCTTCTTGAGGTGTCCTTGAATAACTTAATGAAATAATTATTTCATATGACAAGGTCAATACTAAAACGTTGTTGCCGCACTTGGGATTGATGCATATGTTCTGTAACATTAAGGTATGCATTAGCAATTTGTACTTTATTCGACTACCTCAGGTTCCTTCATTACTTTTATTGTTATTTCAAAATAATTTCAAATTAAATTAAAGCTTTAAAAGTCGTGACCTTTTAGAGATTCCACGCATTTTTAAGTTCTAAATATTTACATTTATTATTGAATTGACAGCACATTAAAAGATATTCAAATGTAACTTAACATGACATTCACCCTTTTTATGAACCATTCGCATCGGATAATTTTAATCATCCGAGTATCGTACACATGACATCCTCGATTCATCGTGTGTTTACAGAACCCTGATCCATGACTTAGCATTTAACTTTCATTTCCGTTCAATTAAAATGGCAATTCAGTTAAATTTAATCTTTTGTATGAAATTTATTGGAATGTGCTAAATAGAAACCGATTTTTCCTCTTCTCTATCCAGCCAATATTAACGTCGCACAAAAAATAATTTTGTATATTTTGCATTTCTTTTCAAATTAACTTCTGCCAAGTTCAAGGAAAGTTCAATATTAAATAAAATCTTAAAAATTTAACAAGGATAAATATTTCCTTTTATCTCTCTTGAATCACTGTATTGGGCTTAACTAACCAATGGTAATTTTCCTTTAAATCTATTGGTTGAATTAGATGTTTGACAAATAACAGTTTTCATTTAACGCAAATCGACAGCCATTATTTGTTATTAACAAACTAGTTTCATGAAAAGGGATTTAGCTTGCGATGGTAGGTTAACTCAGTATTTTTGCTATCTCATGTTATTATTTCAACAGTTTAAATTTTTTCCTATCATATACTAGCTTCCATCTTTAAGCAAGGAAATTTTCAAAATAATTTAATTGTCTCAGGATAAGGACTTTTTACTTCATATTAGCAAAGTGCAAACGTGACAAGTTGAAATGATTTCTGAATTTCATGTCATTTCATTACAGTTACTTAAACATATTTAAATTAAGACAAAATAATTCTTATTTAAACCAATTCGCTTATAATAATTTTTTATGAACTTATAGGTCATTTATTTTGTCGAAGTCAAAATGCACTCTAAGAACTGTTTATCATCATAATCTTTATTTACTTAGATAATTATAAATCTTAATTTATCCTCATAAGTTTAATTCTAAATTATATAAGTAATCTACTTTCTTGGAATAAACCATATAATTAAATACTATGGTTCGAATTATCTGCGAATATTAACGAAGCATAAACTTTTAAGAATTTATACTTGATAAGTTTATAAGGAAGGACAAATGAAACTTGTTTCCGATTAATTTATCGAACCTCATTAGTGTCCTCGTATAAAATTGTATTTATGAAATACACGAATGTGTGGCATAAAGTTATATAACTTTGGTCTTGTTTTTGAATTAAAATCATTACTGGAACAATAAGAAATTCAGTATTTGATGAAATTGTACATGCATTATCTACTTTCCATCGTTTGATTTTATGACTTTAATGCAGATAATTTAATAACACTGTCCACAAATTTAATTGACTCATTTTAAATTGGTTAGACCATGTTCCTTTAGTTGCTGGAAGTCATTTGTCATATGGCACGCTAGTTCATGAAATTACTTATTGCAAATCGATTTGCACGATCTGGGCTCTAAAAGGGAAAAGTATCTAAAGAATGTTTTAGTCAATTTTAGTGGTTATTGAATGACAAAATTGAAATTAATATCTAAAACAATGGTAAAGTAAATTTATGACAATCGATAAACATCGATGAAATTTTTTGTTGACAAAGTGGATGACATAAAGGAAATTATATTTAAATATGGAATTGAGAGTGTACTTTGCAAACCATAATTTTTAATAAAAATTATTTTGTTCTTTTTGAATGCTCATATAATTAATAGAAATTGCAAGGAAATCAAACTTGTATCCTTAGTGAGAAAAGGTAGCCGAAATAAAAATCATAAACAGCTGTGGAAACAAAGATCAAATTATGGCCAATATTGCTGAGAATTAATTATTGGATGAATGATATTTTCCAAGCGAAATGCCATTTTCTTCATGTTCGTAAATTTCTTGATATTGTTTGGAGCAAATTATGCTAGGATGTTTTAGCACTCATTTATCTAAATATAAAAGGTGATATCAAGGAGAAGTGGAATGTTCAATTATTTGAACTGAAAGGTCCTAACAGTTATGAGAAGATATTTTTAAGAAAAAAAGAAATACACGAATTTACTCTATTTTAGAAGGTATTATTCACACATTTTTACAAAAAAATTTAATATTGTGAATCTGTTGAATTTGTAACCTATTCCTTTATGAATAAAGCATCAATAAACTGGAATCTTTATTTTGAGTTTATTGAAGGCAAAATAACTTTATGCATTTGCTAAAATTATTTAGTGAATGCATGAGAACCTACAATAGAAGTTCAATTCAAGTGACCTTTTTGCACTCCAGGTTATCCCTAAACTGTTCCATTTCCTTAATGACATTTTTGTTGCCAAAATCCTTTTATAGCTACACTGTGTTAGGACTGTTATTTTTCTGAAATATATGCAAATTGGTTTGAAGATACTACTTTCATAATATGATGCCGTTAATGCAAATTCTATCACATTTTTTAAAAAGGCGAAATTGTAACTGATTAATAATATGTTACGGAAGTTCAAATCGTAGTTTTTTTGAAAAAAGTTTTCTCAGCAGTAATAATAAATTGATATAAGTGTACAAGAGTGATTTTCTAAAACGGAAAGCGTTTCCAATATTACAGTCAAATTTTCATCTTAGATGCAGAACTAACCCCCCGAGATGAAAAAGCTCCATGTCCACATTTAATAATGGGATAATGTGGAAGCAGAAACAGAGTAGTATTCTTATGTTCAACAGATCACTGCGTCTTTCCATCTCCTTTCTCATTCCAATGCTGCTATTCATAAATGCTATCTGCGGACAAAATATTATTGAATTGTCAACTGAGATACTCCAATTGCAAGGTCCACGAAATACTTCTGTTGAGAAGAGTGCAACAGCGCAACTGAAATGTCGACTCTTAACCGCAAAACCCCCGAAAGATAAATCGAAATATCATTACCCATCACCCTCCTCCTCTTCTTCATCACTTCATTTTATTCCCTGGAGAATGTCAGGCAATCAGAGGGTAAGCGTACAGTGGATTATTGATGGATTTGGATTTACCAATGACAGTCTCATGGAGAGCTACGAAGGCCGCTATGTCATGCCAGGACCACTTAGTGAAGGTGCGCTGTGCTTATTTCCTTTAATTTTCAATTAATTTATATGCTCAAATTTTATCGATTTTATAAACGTTTTTAGCACATACAATTTAATATTGCTTTGGTTTGTATCATTTGGATAAATTTTAGAAGAATAAACATTTTTCGATAGTTGTATAACTCTTGGAAATTTCTTGGAAAGCAGTTTTTATAGAGTCACATAAAAAGATAAGAGAGTTAAAAGTAAATTAAATCTTTTGTACTTGATTAGAGCAAAATAAATGGTTGCTGGTTAATAATTTATATCTCTTTAATTTAGAGCATGGTGAAGTGCGAGAGCTTCTGGTGATACGCATTTTAGTATAAGCTAATACGCGAAGTATGTCCTAATAAGTAATTATTACCGTATACGATAGTATTAACCTATTCTTTGAGGTTTTCGAATATAGCATGAAACATTTTAGGAGTTTAGAGGTTATGTATTTTATTGAATCATTGAAAGTTTTCATGGGTTAACTGTAACTTGGAATATTATCTAACTTAGAGGAATTTATTATTTGGGAACTTTTGTTAGTTATGCGAACTTGATCAGACTTGATTGATCACAAACATTTTGTTTAAGTCAGCCTCAGCCTACGAGACTATTTTTTTAATCAAAAGTTGCATGAACTCTTTCATATTCGATGAAACAATGCAATTACCATAATTCTCCAAAGTATTCGATGCTGTTTTATTATTAACATTGTAGACAATTTGCCATAGTTCTTCGTGTGTATGGGTATATTGAGATTATTTAAAAAATTGTTCAAGGTAATCAAGTTGACAAAATATAAGAAATAGTTACCCGTGAATTAAATTTCCACTTTAAATGAACTTTTCAGTGCTCAATTTTCAAATCTTTTGCCACTATGGACAAAGAACTAGCAAGAAAGAAGTACAAGAACAAAATTTCTAAAACGTAGTTTCCTCAGATACTGACTCGTTAGTGAGAAAAAAGACTTGACATAGGCGTGAAATATATGATTCATAAATGGAATTGTGTACAAATATTTCCCCATAGACATACTTATTTCCTCAATCTTTATTATGCTTATCTCAAATTAAAATTTTTTAGGATATTCTTTCAAAAAAGCAGAGACTAAACCTGCAAATAATTTTTCATTTAAAATTCTTGTTTCGTGGCATCTTGTAGCCAACATATTACTTGTTATAGAGCCTTTTCAAAATCGTGCACTTTCGTTCAAATGAGTTAAATAAAATTTTAGTAATTACCATAAGTTGATAAGACAAAATCCCGTTATGTTAATTTATTCAAAAATGTCTTGCTTTGATTTTCGGTAGAAGTACAAAAGTAGGTCCGTTTCCGTAAATAGCTAATTTCATCGAACGTTGGAAGAAAACCTTAGAGCTAGCATTTCATTCTTATTGGTGTTTAGTAATCTCACTTATTCGATTTCCCTATAATGCAATTTTAAATGGACTTGATTAGATTACAAATACTCGTGTTAACGGCGAACTAAAGAAAATTTTTGTTTAATGCAGAACACTAGACTACAAACATATAGTGGAATGGTAATTTAAGGAATTAAGTATAATCTATGCAAATATGCATACAAAAGACTCCTGGCGATTAGAGATAACAAAGCTAAAGTTGTTTAACTTATATACATTTCCCTTCTTGCACAAAATATGACCTACAACATATGACTACGTTTTTATACAAAGTGTGCCATTAACGTTTTATAACACAAAGGCACCAATTTCATCTTTGATGTTTGACAAACGTGTAATGTCAAGTCTTACTGCTATAATGCCATGAACACCCACCTAATGTGTAGAAGCTCAAAAAATAATTCTTAACACAAGTTGCAAATTGGATTGCTTTGAAATGAATTCATGCTGAAGTTAATGTTAACTTATGTAGGGTAAATGTTAGCGAAAAGTGTTTTAGTCAAGTGAAAGGTTTCGAACATGGTGTAGAAGGAAGAAATCGAATACATCCCTTATGAGATTGGATCACAGAGTAAACTATTTATGGCCCTAAAGTAAAAGTCTTGCAATACGTTACATTTAATTATGTCCATACCCTGCTTACTCCTCTTTTAGTTTTACCGATTCAGTCGAAGAGCTTAAGAATTCTTCATTAACTTATTTTTTGTCCATTTTATATGACTATATATATATATATATATATAAATCCATTTCTCTCATATTAAAACATTGTTTCAATATCACAATGAAATTTCCATTAAATCAACCCTAGTTTCTTGGTTCAAAAGAAAGTTTTAATAAAATGAACCCAGTTGCTATCGTTCTCTACAATTTAGGTGTCCGATAAGGTGTTGCACATGCAGGGCAATTATATTGCACGCACTTCGATCAGTAAACTTTACTATTTATAAATATTTTATGGTGCAAAATGGAGACGACGGAATGACTGTCTCATGCCCTATATGCACCTTGAAGAAAGAAAGCTGAATTACAATTATTTTAACATAGTTTTATGCCAGGGTTTAACCAAATGTTTATTTAATTTTTATTACAAATTATATGTACAGATTACGTTTGTTCTAAAAAGCCCAGGAAAGGAACTTTAGAATTAAATGTCTCGTAAATTGTACACAAATGCTCTTTCTTTTTATATCTTTATAAAAACGTGAATAAATCACTTCATGAAGATGTCCTGGTGAACAAACACTGAACTTCTAATTTGTTTAAAACGTCAGAGATGAACATCATCTGGTAGAATTAGCTGAACTGTATTTTCATTAAAGCCCCTTGTGAGAAGATACTTAAGTGATATTAAAATTCATGTGTTTTTATGATTGTGATTTCAAATTCAATTAAATATTCAATTTGCTATTTTACATTTATTTAAATTTTGACGCCCACTATTAATAATAAATGAATGATTAGCTTTAATGTGTAAGCAGCATTCATTATTGTCCTTAAGTATCAACGATTAAATACTTCTTGAAAATCTATTAGCTTAAGTGGACGACTATTCATTTCCTTATTAATTCAAGTGTGAATGATATTTTCGTGAGCAGATTGTCACTTATCTCTAGGCCATAAAGATTATTACATGCTATTTTAAGAATTACTCCCTCCAATATGATTGTTTACACTGCCCGGTTAATTTGTGGAATAATTTAATTCTGACCTTGAAGGACTAACTTATCTCAAGTAATTTTGTAAATACTTCGATCCCTATAGTTTTTGCTACCTGTTATTCAATTTTATTTAGCAAATACCCCTTTAACGAAAAAAATACACAAATCCCTTTTTGTCAGCTAACAAAATAGTATTTTTTTGTCACTTATTGAGCACCTACCATGCAATGTTTTCGGTTCGCTATATTACAAATGCAAATGAATGCGATCTGTTAGAAGGAAACGTCGATTTCAGCCAACTTTGCTTCATAAATGCACCCGTTTCCGCTTGATCCGTTTTATCTCCTTCATTACCCGCAAAGTGATCCAGATATTTACCATGAAATTGTGAGAATCGGGTTTACAGGCAGGTAATTATGAGTTTAGTACAAATGGCAAATCAGGAATAAAATCTCGGGATATGAGGTTGTTCTAACTTTCAATTTTCTATTAAATACTAGGCCTAGACTTTTTCTTATCCCTCCAGAATACTTCTTGTAATAGTGTTTTCCTCATTCAGGTGTATTCGACCTTTTCGTGTACAAAGTACGGAATTTGGATCAGACCTCCTTCAGCTGCCAAGTTACAATTCAGACCTTTCAGTTGATGCAGCCCCCACGCGTTAAAACTCTCACTAGTTCCACAATTTTTATAACTATTTATAGTAAGTTAGAAATGCTCATGCACCTTTTTTTACTAAAAGTACACTGACTATATTTTATCATTATCTTTGCTAGTGCAGAAACCTTAAACATACTTACTTTACTCCGTGGTACGATTTTTTAAGTATAAGTGGGCACTAGAAGCACTTAAAGCGTTGCTCATTATGTACATGATGATCACTTGATTTGATGGCCGTTTCACCTTGTCATAAAATTAGGACACTGAATGCCCCCTAGATAATCACTCTTCTCTTATTCGTCGATCCTATTAGAATAGGAATATAATCTCCAAGCTTTTGAATTTAGATGCTTTAGGTTCCTTGATATGGAGGCCCACCCATCCCCCCTGGCTTAGCGCTTAACAACATGGTGATTAAGACATTCAAGTGGCGACAAGAGGCGATAACCACGTACTGTGGTATACTGAAAAACCAACATTCTAAAATTCAAATATAAGTTGCGCTGCAGCATATTATAATACAGTAGGGATTTATTTAAGCAGTTAGACGCGTATGTCCGTAAACTAATTGAAGAAAATTTATTTAAATAACAAGAATAACCTTGAATATAGACACAAAATTTTCTCCAGCTTTTAGCTTCGCACATGTATAATTTCAAATCGAATTCACCCAACAGCATTTTGCTTTTGAATTCTCACTTATATAATATTTTGCTTTAAACAAAACTTATTTTTTACTTTAAAGTGAAATCCCGAAAACTTCGTTTTTAGTGTCTAGTAAGCTTTTTACCATATTATTAAGCTTTCATAAGCTGCATGACAGATGGCAGAAGAACCGGACTTCTACAAAAAAGTCCTAATTATCCTATTTGTCTATATTATTACACGCTGTCAGTAACCAAAGATGATAAGCTTCAATAGGTTACAGACAAAGATTATTTTCCACGTCTTTTTAAACTCTATGAGCACATTTGCCAGCATTACAAACTTTTTAAGTCCACTTTTCATTATGTTCAACCGATCCGTTTTCTTTTCTTACATAAATCGTGGGGGGGGGGGGGGGGGAGGATAGAAAAGAGGCCAGTCATATTAGCTGTCCACAGCATTCAATCAGCATCTATTATAACCGAATTTATTTATTCTGTTTCCAAGCTAGACTATTCAACCTTCCCTTGCCTCTTGATTACGTCCAGATGTAATTCGGTTTTTTTGTCATTTAGGTGCTCCAGATCGTCTTTTACTCAGGCAAATACCCTTAACCTCGGCTTCCAAATCCCTTCAAGACAGTTCAACTAAGCTCTCTCCCGACAGAATTCAATCTGACAATCCGTCTCAGTCGGACGCTCATGCATTCCCTAATTTTGACGAACAGGCCTCATCAACACTATCTCGACCACCAATATCGCACACAATTTCACATTCCAGTAATTCCATGGACGCTAACTTTAGAAATGGTGATAATGAAGTGTGGGCACTGGAAGGAAGTGAAGTGTCCCTGGAGTGTGTAGCCTCACCCAGTTCTCCCGTATCTCGATTAATGTGGATTCTGTCACCGGTGGCAGAACTTGAGGCTGAACTGTCCATGCCACCGACATTTGATTTTGGGAGTTTTTCCGAGAAAAGTCGAACACCGCAGTATGATCGCGAATATCCAACATGGAGATATGTATTCAACTCTAAAGCACACAATGGATTAGGCTACAAAATTGTCAACAAAGAAATCCCGGATGTAGGAAGTGGACTGTAAGTTTGAGTGGCACTTTATGAATAACCATTAGTAGAGTTCAACAACCAATAGGTTTCTGTTCGAAAGTATCCATTGACATATTTCAAGCAAATTACTTACTGTTTTATCAAATAAATGGGACTTCAAAATTATTTAAAGATTCATATTTTTCAATTATTAATAAATATTTAGTGTATTTTTTTAAGTCAGTCCAAGAAACTACAAAGCTCATAACTGCAGTTTTATTTTGTCTCAGAACAATCAATTCCCACAGATTGTCACTCCTTCCAAACACATTGACAGCTAATTTGACTAAACTTCTATCGGTTTAACGAGGTTATGTAGATAACTTGCATTTCTATGCCATGTCCTTGTAGGTTAAATAAAACTCCTCGGGTTAAGTACACTCGGTCCTGGCCCTCTATTCCCTCTCTAAAGTCCGAGTCAACTGTAGCCTAATGATATTTGGTGGACAGGTGAATCGTAGGGACAGAAATACAGCTCAAAATAGTCATACTTTGCAAAAATGGATAACGAATCAGTTACATGAGTAGTGGGGCAGTCATCAAAGTGCTTTCACCATCATTACCGAAAAATGGCCAATTGGCAATCAGGAGACTCATCAATCCAATTAGGTTTAATCATCTCAGAGTGCTACATCAAAAGATATCCACTCCCTATGATTCCATAATTCTCACCATTGCCGCTCTGATTCCAGAAACTCGAGGGCACCCTTTAAAATGAAGTGGACAAAATTCTTGAAGTGGGAAAGGCTCAAATACCAGTACTAAAATTTGATTAAGTCAGAAATGAAGGGTTCACAAATTTAAACTTCTCCAAAAGGCTATGCAAATGTTAAAAAACTACTTCAGAGAACACAATTCAATGCAAGATTCAACTATCTACCTTTCTACAGGGAAACAGAAGAGTTCTGAAACTCTTCTCAATTCCAATAAACAACGAATCTGAAGGAGCTAAGATCCGGAATAGTCCGAGAAAGGGGCTTAAATGACTTCCGTTTGTGTAGGATCTCAAATAGGCTGAAAAGTCATATAGGAATCGAGCCTCACTTTTGTATCTCATAACTGAATACCAACTGTTTAATATCCTAAAGAATGGCAATCATGGTTCAATATGATTACAATAAAACGGAACCTCTATATTTATGCAACGTTACTTTACTTTACGAAACTTAAAATTCATCCTTTCTCCAGACTTCCCTCTGCCTGTTGATTTTACAACAGATGACTTCTTGTTTAACCCTGTCCAGTTAAGCAGGAGCTGATTCAATATCGAGCTAAAGTTGGTCACAAGGAACTTTTACTCTGAGAGGAACAAGTCCTACGCTTGTCAAAGAATAGTGTACTAAAATCTCCACAGTCTTTCAAACTAGAGGAGCAAAGCGTCCAAAAGAAGAATTCTTCTGATCATTAGATCAAAATCGTTTCAACCAACGAGAGTGTAGGGAAAATTAAGACGAATCTCTAGGAAGAGAGAGCAATAACCGTCTAAATATAATTCCTCCCAATATGTATGTAATTTCGAGATGAGGTTAGAAAAATCTACCTTGCATTTCAGAGACGCAATTTTCTGCTTTTAAAATGGAATAATACCTGTGAAAAAAATAAACTAAAAAATGTAACTCCCTCAATATAAAATTTGCATCACGGGGCGAATACTTTATTTGCATTTTTGAGTGAATTATACGCCTGTGGGCAAGAAGAATAGAATTTTTTTCACTACATCTCATTGAAAATGGATATTATAGTTGTATCACTCGTTTTGGTAATTGTACAAATTATCCAAAAGAACTTGGTTAGATCACATCAAATCATAAGCTCTCATTGTAAGTGGCATATATAACGGTCGATTGGAAATAGTGGAGCATGTCCAGAATTCAGGAAATTTGTTTATAAACTAGATGCTTGTATACTTAGTCTTTACGTAAGGCAAATAGACTATTAGTGGGATGTTAAATGGATTTTGGCTGCATTTCTACGTTCTCCGTCATTTTATACTTCTTCCGTTATAACCCACGACCCCCCCCCCTCCCCTCTTTTTTCACCTAAGTCACCACCATTCTGCTTACGTCAGTTCGGCAAAATCTTGATTATTCTAATAAGACTGATTTATAGTTTACCCAGTTAGTTAGCACTAGAGAGTTGATTGCATCGTTCCCTCTTCTCTTCATACCATTTGTAGCATATTAACTTGTTGGCTGGTTTTGACAACTTTATTTCGCTCTTAATTAATGCAATTTTATTACGGAAATCAACGTTCACATGCTGTGGCCTGTTGACAATGTGGCCTTGGCGAGGCATGTCGAACACTCATCGAAAAATGCAAAAGCCGAATGAGTGGGTAGATGAATAAATGCACCTCAATACTTAAGTGTGTGTGTGTGTATGTGAGAGAGAGAGATGGAGGAAGAGAGAAGGTGGAAGTTAGAACATAAGGTGCAAAATTAGATCTAAAACACCTCGCCGAATAATCGATGCGCGTGGCTTTACTCAAATGATTCTATAATTCCCTATAATTATTCTTAGTTAACTCATGATACGATGATGATTTGATAGACACAGTGAAGGTATCTTTAATATTGTTTATACCAAATTTTAGTCAAAACTGCAGAAGCGGCTTGAAAGGCATTAATTTGCATAATTAGGTCTGGTAGGTTGTAACAAAGCAAACTCTCTTTCTCTCACTCTCTCCCACCCCCAGTAAGTAAAGGCAGAGGAACATTTAATTTGGTGATTTAATTATGCAAAAAGCACTTCTGTGCATTTCCTTTCTTAGCCAATTCATCTTGAATGTTCGAGCTAATTTTATGACATAAGCAAATAAAACTCTCTTCATTTATTCGCATTTTAATAATAATTTTTATCTCTAAATTTGAAAATCTAATAAAACGGATTTTATTAGAAATGTCATTATTGAGAATAGGCTTAGCTAATTTTGTGATCTGGAGAGCAAATAATCGCATATAAATTGAAGCAGTTTAGATAAAAAGAAGATGTCAGTCATGAAAAGTTCAGAATCTTGTCATGTCGAACAGAATAAAGAATTATTATATAACAGAATTGAAAGTTAATAGGAATAGAATGTCCTAGGGACTGCAAGAATACAAATGGAGATTAAATTTAACGTTATGCTTCTACGGGAGAACAGACTCCTTGTTATTAGCCTTTGATTTTCTATTACAACATAAGTTTAGAAAGTCACACAGTGGTAATTTGACTACTCTAATTCTCTGTTTTAGAAATATTGGATGCAGTATCCTGACACTAAGAATGGACCGTTCGCTCTCAGGGAGACGACTGGAGTGTCTGATCCAAAATGCAGCAGCATTCGAAAAACCCGTCATGCCTAAAGTGACAACAACACTTCAAGTCTTCTGTAATTGGTTTATTTGTTAGCATTTTTAATTAAGCAATAAGGATGCAACAATTAGCTATGTTCCTTGAAGATTTGGCATCAAGAAGGAAAGTCACTTTGCTGATCATCAATACAGTTAATAGCATTGATTGAATTGGTTTATATCCAGGTTGGTTTGTGGAAAGTGTCATCAGTCCAGCCGAAAACATGTGGAGTGATTGGAAGCTCTCTTTGCAAAATTTTGCTTTATTTTGCAGTAAGAAAATAAATGCACATAAAATAGATTTACTAAATAAGGTTAGCTGTGTGAAATTTCATTTCCTCATTTAATCCTCATGTCATTTTATTTTATTTCAGACATTAAAAATATGAATATCACGAAAAATATTTCAAATAACAAAATGATTGGCGAAGCCTATCGGGAAAATGAGACAGTTCGGTTTCATTGTACAGTCGATTCAAATCCTAAAGAACTGCGTTACGTGTAAGTTGTTGTTATTGTCTATAAAAATACCGCCATCGGAGTTAATGCAACGGCCTATACTCTTACTGCTTTCTCTTAATGTTAAAAAACAAGGGTGGAAAGGGAGCGACAGCATGCATGTCCATCACATGGAAAATGACGAGACGGAAATTCGCTTATCTGATTTGATTCAATGAATTCTGATTAATATATATGCCATAGGCGGAAATGAGTGTTAATTTGTAAGTTCTAATAGAAGAAGCAATAAAGAAAAATGGGAATCAGTAGGTTTGTTAGTTTTTCCCACTGTTTAAAAGCTAGTGAAGGATATTGGAGTCTTGCGGATCGAAGATCCTTCCAATTTCTAGCTCAATTTTTCAGACAATAAGGCAAACAGGGGAGATACGCGAAGGTGAATGCTTAAAGGGAGGTATGGAGAAGAGGACTGATCATTCATTCAGAAGGTGTTAGTTAAAAGACGTGCAGTCCCAAGGTGGTAGTTGAGACCAACTGAGTGGTTTAATAAATTGAGCCACTTATGGAAAAATTATGATGATTCTGTAAGGTAATTTGAGGTCAGTCCGGGAGAGGGGAGGGGGGGGGGTTGACACTACATTTTCTCTAATTTGTCCATTATCGGAAGGTAGTAATAACAGGACACTATTTCCGTTGTAAAATGTATAAATGCAAAATCCTTTCTGGAAGTATCGGAATTCCATATCCTCATATGGGATGCAATTCACTACTTAAAGCTCATATTCTCAGACTTCTTTAGTTAGAATTCAAAGTGAGATTTCGACAGCAGTATTAAAAGTTGATATATTTGGGCTGTTGATCATATTCACCCAATTCAGAACAAGAGGTGAATAGAGGCGAATCTCTATCACGACTATTGACAACAGAATGACTGCAAAAAATTTTGTTTTCTTCAAAATGGAATCCTTATTCCATTGGAAAATCACTAACCCTCAGAGTTTATGAATAATTAAGCGAATAATCGGCTTAATCGAGACTTCCCTTTTCGGCTCTTAATCCCATGAGATTTTGGGAGATACCTCTGCGAAATTAGATTAAATTATGTAATTAGAGAACACTTTACCTAATAAATTCACAATTCTTGAATGCGTTTTTTATGATATAAAACAACTTCTATGCACTAAAGCCAATCGATTTATCGAAACTCCAATTTAGTAGACAGGAAATCCCCTCTTCAAAATTAATGAATAAAAGTGCATAACTTATTTTTAAGTCGGAATACTGAAGGTGGGAAGCAACCATAACAACTGTAGATAGATGGGTCATTTAAAGGCAAGATGAGATGCAAGTGGGTTTTGAGTGCAGCGAAGTGAAGTGTTATTAATAAACTCGGTTTGAGCAGGCATTCAAACGCAAATTGACTTTGATCAAAATCATTTAGCCTAACTTATGTGGAAAACGATTTCTTGTAAATTATTTAATTCTTCAGGTTAATAAGTATGACTATTCCCCCAAATATCCGATTAATGACACTTCTTATTGTATTTTTTTAATGTGGGTAGACAATTGTGCTTGAATAAGTAACGCTCTATTTTTGATATCCTTCATGTCGCAGGAAATTTAAAGGAGTTAGCATGAGTGATTTCTAGACTATCGGTGCTTTTAACAAACATTTCATGGCTTCAAGTTTCAAAATTCTGATCTCATAATTCACCGGGGTCATGCTTTGATTCATCATATTTTATGTTTATTAATCGAGTTCGTTTTCTGTTGCAAGATCAAGACGCGGCAGCGTGATTTTGTATGATGATAAGATGGAGGGCAAATGCAAATAACTTGAAAGTGATTAACGACCGTTGGATAAGGACTGTAATTAAGAAAAGAGGGTTTAGGAACTGAAATTAGAATGCTTTTCAATATCTTTGATACACTGCTTTAAAAACGCAATAGGTCAAACAAAAATAAGTAATAACTAAGTGTTCTTTAATAAACAAAAGTTTACATTATTTGTTGGAATCAAATTTCGTTGTGTGTCAAAAAATATATCAATAAAATAACTTTAATCTTGATCTAATTGAAAGCATTGTAGAGGAGTAACTTAGAGTAATCATTACTGCTCCCGAAAGGAGAAAATACAATAGATCTCAATGAACAAAACATTTATCACTCATGCATAGGGCAGAAATTGTTCTGAAATAAGGCAATCAGAATACTGATATTTAGTTAGGCGAAAAAATTTGATAGCGAAATTGGGTCTGCAGTACAACTGATGTCAATGGCCAAATTAAACACCAAGGATTAGGTTTATATTAGCTTATGCTTAAAATAAAGTACATTGTGATCAACTAAACAGGATAAATCTCGTTTTCCTATCATTCCCACATCGTTTCCAAATGCCAATTTTGCGCCATTCGCCTAGACTGCGATAAGCGAACACGATAGCAAACGTCAATTCAAATTTTTAAATGATAAGTTAATTAACATGGAGGCACTCTTTCTTGAGAAAAATATTTATAATTAACTTCTACAACAAAATTTAATTAGAAAAGAGAAGATTTAAATAATTAAAAACTTTAATAGAAATTCGTTAAAAGTAACGACGTGTAGACATTTAAGAATATTAATTTATTCCAAATATATTTTATGGACTTTAAAATCTTTTTGTTAACTTTTTAATCGCCACTGTTTTCACTCCCACTTAAAAAAAAACATTAAAAGCACAATAAGTACATCTTATACTCTGTTTTTTGCGATAGATTTTTAATTGTTCATTGATGCCCTAATTTCTGTAATAACTGCTCACCCTCAAGTAGTAGGGATATTTGTTTCACACACAAATGTTGAAATTCACATCGTGGATAATTTCTCAAGAAAACATTCCTAAGATGGTGGTCCTATCATTCGTGAAAAATATATTTTGTAAAAATTAAACAGCCTCAAGTTTTGAGTTCGACAAATTAATCCGTGGAATTTTAAAAAAAAATTGTGCTAAGCATATTTAAGCAACAGAAAGAACTAGAAGGAATACCTTTGGAAAAGGTGTGTAGATTGTCCAATACTATGAGAAACTTTATCGAGAAGTAGAAGTCAGTGTCAGGGAATAGAGAAAACCTTTATTCATCTAAGTTACAAAATCATTAGATCAAATTTGACTTTCTTTTTATTGGCTGGTTAATCGTAGGACAAAACTGCGTACCGCGGTATCAGGTGACATTCACATATGGTGCAAAGGAGTTGACCAGAGAGTGTTTCATCTTTTGTGGTAATCGACCAGCGTGGAACTTCCCATCTAGTTTTCATTTTCAGAGCCGAAGGCACCGAGAAGCCTTATTTATCTTTTCTCCTTTCACTTTGTGCTTGATGTTTATTGATGTAGAAATAGAATTAGTAGCTTGATTCATCATTCCAATTAGACATCTCTTCCAATAAAATACCTGCTCGGCATTTGTAAAAATTGAACTGATTACACCCAACGCGTGGTATGTGTTATAACATATATTGAAATTTCTTAGTTTCAACTTGTCTTTGGGTAATCACACTAAGCCCAGCTATATTTGTGGTAATTCATCTCCAGGCGGTTGTAGTTAGCTTCTTAATCAGCATTCACTATCCCACAACAAGCAATTTAATGAATAAATTAGTCCACAATTTATGCAGTCCACGGATATGACTTCACTTTTAAATTCATTTGTGAACTTTAGAACTTAAACGTTTAAACCCATCAACGTAAAACGTGAGCTTTTTAATGCCACAACAGCGTTCCGAAATTTCAAACAATTTCCCCATTCTTCACTCCATATTCTTCTACTTGAGCATTTCCTTTTGTTAATACAACCTCAAATAGTACATGATATTTTTCCCAAAGGTAGCATGAATTTAACACTTCTGAACCGTCAATTGCTCATATGTTTTGAGCTTAGTTACAAAACCTGTAAAATACGTTGCAAAGAAGTCCACTAAGCATGAAAGCCCAAAAACGATTGAATCATCTCTTAAAATGCACAGTACAGAACAGAATGCAACTTATGAGCATTTGTAAAAGTGCTAAACCTTTTTTAAACGAAACGAACCTCTGAAGATTTGCAGCGTCATTGCTTCACGAATAGTAGACTTACGCTAAACTCTACGTAACTGAGAAGCAGCAAAATCTAAACTTAAGTTTTTCAATTTATTTCATCGTTTTTAATAAAATTTGATTATTTCTTTCTTTGGAAGAAATTCGAAAAAAGGGATTTGAATTTGACAATTTTACAATTAAAAGGTAAAAGGATAGTAGAATTAGTTGTGACAAGCCTCAAAATGTACTTCGATGATATGAATTTGATTTTATGCAACGGAAATGTCAATGGATTTGATAGATTTGATCGCTAAGATGATTAAAAATGGTGAAATATGGATTGGAATTCCATCAACGAATATAGCTCCTCGAAAGTGTTGTCAGCCATTTGAATATATATGTATATTTATTCACTTTATGGGAACATAAATTTCAGTTCAGTTAAAATTCTACTTTAACACTTGTCATCTCGCTAGGTTACAGTTTTTTAAATATGAGAGTTTATCTATGGTTTGTAATTAATAAGTATTCAAATTAAAAATCTTCTTATGATAAAATGAATAATGGGACTTAGAGAGTTATTATTATTGCTGGCTGTTCAAGAAAGGACTAGGGCCTAACCAGTTTATTTCAACTCCAAGCTGCAACATACTGGCTTATCGTCTCAGAGAGAGAGAGAGAGAGGGAGGGGGCGAGAGAGAGAGAATTCGAAAAATGTATGCAGGTGTGAACTAGTGGAAAAGTGCTATCTCAGCCATGTTGGTGAGACTGAGGTATATTTAAGGCCAGTTAAGAAACACATCAGTCGTTTAATCACACGCCAGCTGCATGCCAGCCACTTGCGAATGCATAATAGTCCTCTAGAGGGAAAGTTTTGCCCATAGAAGTGAATTGCACTACTTTAGTGCATATTCCGTGATATGTACTTTAGATTAAAACAACCTTCTCATCAAATAGCTACACAATCACAGGCATGCTATAGTTCTTTTCTA